GGCCTCGCCGTGGTTCGGGCTGCTAGCAGCCCCCGTGATGCAAAGGTTGGTGCTACTGAGCTTGCTGCTCAGTTAACGTTGACGTCTTCAACGTTCCACTGGAAGCGCTGTGGTCAAAGGCGTTGAGATTGCAGCTGTATGCTTAGAATGACATGTGAGTTCATCCACTTTGCTGATGTGGGACCGGAGCGTTCAGAGCTGTGATAGATCAAGTCCTTGTCTCCGTTCTCTTATTTGTCTCTTTATCTGTGATTATCTTAATTGTCAGGCTTTCTGCTCTAGAGCATAAGTTTCAATTCAGCCAGAGCAGTAGAAAACAAAGTATTATTACTTTCCTAGGCAGATCAGCAATTCATCCAGAATTATTGGATATACTGCAGATACTACCTAAAAACTTGCTGTTCCTTGGTTGTTGTTAGTAAACGTTTGGTTGGAAAGCAAAAAAAGAAACCAAACCAAAAAGCCAACACACACCTCTCAGCCTAATCCCTGCATTTTGTAAGAACAAGTCCTCATTTTGGGAAAGGCTGGCTCAAACCACCACAAGCCTTGTGGCACGGTTCAGAGCAGTGCTCAGCGTGGTTCACGAAAGCCACGACATCGGACTCCAGGGGTTTGCTCGTGTAAACCTTGGGTCTGAATCTTCCATTCTTGGGCATTTTTCTTTTCATTAGCAATCTCATGAGAAAAAAACACACCAGGAAGATGACGGTCCTTAGCTTCCCTGACCATCTGGGGAGTGGTTCCATGCGGCACAAGGGTGGGACAGGCAGCGTGGGAAGGGGCCGGCAGAGAGACCACAGCAGGACTTCACCATTGCGAGGTGTTTTTCTTTCGTAGATAATACTTACGTTTCCAGTTCTGATAACGATGAAGACGTGTTAGTTACAACAGAGCCAATTCCAGTAATTTTCCACCAAATCGCTACAGGTAATCTTGCGTCCTGAGTGTTTTGTCAAGTTCATATTTTCTGAGGAAAGACAAGATGTTACCTGCACTTATGGATATGCTAATGTGTACAGCTATACGATTTGCTATTTTCTCGCAGTCTCGCTGTTGTAAATTGTCCTACATTTCAGAATAGAAGAAATTAAAATATTTCTTTTGGGGATCATCATGACAGTGTAGGCAGAATGTACTTTATTCTTTTAACGTCTTGCAGTCTGTGGTGAAGCAATTCTCCTTGAATACAGTCAGAGGTACTTAATACTTCCCAATTATAAGTTTTTGTGCTCACTTGCTTAAAACTTCACTCAATCTTTACCATTGGGGATGAAAGAGTCTATAACTACCATTGCGCATGGTGAATTATATCAGGAAATTTCAAACAAAACAGTTCAGCTATTTCACTAAATTAGACTATAGGAAAAAAATATTTTTTCCCAGTACTTTTGAGAACCTCGCATTTGAAATTATTTCCATACTTTCAAAAAGTATTTGATACTTGAAAAGGTATGCTTTTCAGACATATAGGCACATTTATACAGTACATAATCAAGATTTGTGCGTGCTCCATAGAGGATTTTTAGATTTTAGCAGCCAAATTCCCCGATGATTTCAGGCTGCAGGAGAAACTGCGTAGAGCAGTCTTAATTCTGGCAGTTCTTCAGATAGGAACACTTGACTTTGCAGTCTTTTTATTATTATTACAATGCTTTAGGGCTTTTTTTGTGTAACACAGAATTACTTTGAATTCTACTGGAAAACCAATATGATCTTCAGTCTCTGATCTCATTTATACTGATGTAAATCAAGAATAATTTTACTGAAGTTGGTGCAGTGGCACCCAAACAAAAACTGGCTGTTATAGCCAGAAATAAGATAAGATTAAGATAAGATAACCTAAATATTACTTGCAAGTATTTCTGTAATTTAAAAAGAAATAAAGCCTGTCATTTAAAAGAGAATTAAACCCTATGCTTTGTGTAGAAGATCATCTGATTTAATTTTGCTGAGGAATTTTGATTTTTCATTCTTTTGTAAAGTATACAGATTAATGAATAACACTAAATTATAAATCACAGTTTGGGAAAAACAAATCTCCTAGACAGACCAGCTGATTTTCATTTCACAGTTAAAAATATGAATCTTCTGAGATGTAAGGGCTTCTTAATTTTAGACTGTTATTTTCTAAACTCTTTGATACTTTTCATATCTGTAACTTTTTGTTCCTTATTTGCTCTACTACTGCAACTATTTCAAGTCTGCATATACAAAATTATTTCACCTTTTTCACAGATGTTCCCTATTTTCCCTTTTCTTTTAAGAATTAAGAAAAACCAGTGATGTCAACTGTTGCTTATCCATAAAATCAAAATTACAGAGGGAGAATGGAGAGGTATGTATTTCTTGTATGCATAATTTAACAGAAGTTATTTTAAGAAACAACAGAAAATAATAAAATATGAATGCTCACCATAGATTTTTCTATCAAATGTGTGCTTATGCAAACTGTATACTTTTACACATTTTAGAAGACGAGTGTAGCTCTCTGGGGTTCATACATGGATTAGATAGTGAATCACTTAGTTGGGATAGGGATGCTACCATCCTAGGAAATAGGGTTTTGATGTTTATTTCATTTTTTGTTCAACACTGGTATAGAAGCTGTCTGCTCTAAAAATACAGGTCTCCTGGAGAAGTAGATCATGGTGCCATTACCTTTTAACCTACTCTGGTGCATTGGACCACATCCCATTTACTATCTCACTGCTTCTCCGTGTGGCCTACAGCAGCCCCACTGGAGACTCTAGACCTCTGCGTGATTCTATTCACCATAAGTACTGTCTGGAGTGTTAAGGCCTTCCAGTCACAGCCGTATTTGTGCTGTACCTCTGGCATGGATCCCTGACCAGTCTCACTGAGACATTAATTCAAGAAAGACCTGGCACTAACATGAAGTCTACAGGGCTTGACAGTGTTATTAGCTCAAAGAAAGTACCGCATAGGCTTCTACCCCAAGCAAGAAACTGAGCACTGTATCAAGAATTCATGTGCTTTGACTTCCTTTGGTAAGGCAGTTTGCTGAGTTTCTTGACGACTGCTTTTTAGACTCTGATCGGTATTTGATCCTGGAAAGGGGAGATAAGCATGCCCAGATATGCTACTGTGTGTGTGGTTGGGTTTTTTAGTAGACGAAACCTGATTTGATGTAAAAAGCTGCACTGGAAATATTTTGCTTCTACTGCTTCATCATTGTATTCGATGCTCGGTAAACATTAGAAAAATTCAAGTGTAGGAAGAATTTACCCATTTGATTAAAAGCCTGAGATATAGTTAGCTTCTATGGGACAGAGTTCAAGCTTTTTTTTTTTTTTTAGTTGAATGAGGTACTTAAATATAAAAGTACTGAAAAAAAAAGCCTTTTAAAAAAGTCTCTAACACTGACCATTTCCGTTAAGTGGACAGTTAGAGGTTTGGGTAGGATGGGGTGGTTTTGTCACTATTCTTGATGTGAGAGTTTCATTTCTCTTTGGTTTGTGTTGAATTTTTGTTCAATTGAGTTCTGTTTTGACACAGATTTCCCCTTGAGCTAAGGTTATTATAAAACAAAGAAGACTGAAGTCACTTTGTTTCTTTTCAGTGAAGTAGAAACAGAAATTATTTTTATGCCTTGTCATAGAAAATTGCTGTGAAATTGGCTGAAATACAATTTTTGTTCTATGTATACATACAGTGAATAGAGGCAAAGGTAGGGAAATGGGATTAGAATGTCTGACCGTAGAGGTTAGTGATAAGGTTATACTTAACATTTATGAATATGTGGGATTTAGGCATAACTTCTATTCTGATTCATACACCTGATTTCTATTCCATTATGGCAGTTGTGTGCAGGTCATAAATACAAAATAAGCAGTAAGAACATCATGTTCAGGTTGAAGTGAAGAATTACTATTTCAACAGATGTTCTTTAGGGCATCCTTGTCAGCACAGGGCCTAGAAATAACACATGGATTGTGGGAAACAAGAATTAATATCTCCAGGCAATTACATAATTATAAGTAAAGGTTCCACTGGTGGGAAGAAAAATATAACACTTCAATTCATGCTGAGTTGCAGTCTGTACCAGGATCAGTTCTATTTACTTGAGTGCAGCTACTCACAGAGCAGCCTATTTAGAGCAGGTTTTACTTGGGTAAGCATAGTACTTTCTAACCCTTAATTTTCAAAGTGTCAGAACAGAGCTAGTCAGAAAATTAAGTTTGAACTTTTATGGCAACAGGCTGGTACTTCCATTTAAAATAATAATTAAGCAGCAATGTGTCAGTTTTTCACATTAAGGAACTTAAGAGAACCCATGCTCGGACTTGAATTATTTCCTTAAACTATAATAATTCCTTTGCCAGAATAAAGTAAATTAAAATTTAATTAGGTCACTGAAGCACCAAATTAATTAAGTCCAGAATCTCTCTTTGTGGGTAAATTATGCTTTATTTACAAAAACACAGAGTGAAGTATACCCACATAGTCTACTGAATTCCCCAGTTCCTTAAAATACAGCACTATGTTTGTAGCCAGACAAAGCATTATTGCTCCAACATATATTCAGGCTGTTTTTATGTACCCAGTTAGTAGATGCTTGTTTTGTCTGATATTTCAGTATTCTTAAAACCAGCCCTTAGTACTCTTCTGGAAAAATGATACTAAAAGATCTCTTAATCATAGAATCATAGAATACTTTGGGTTTGAAGGGACCTTTAAAGGTTATCTAGTCCCAACATACCCAAGGGACATCTTCAACTAGATCATGTTGCTCAGAGCCCCATCCAGCCTGACCTTGAATGTTTCCAGGGATGGGTGTCATCTACCACCTCTCTGGGCAGCATGTGCCAGTGCTTCACCACCGTCATCATAAAAAATTTCTTCCTCATATCTAGTCTAAATCTACTCTCTTTTAATTTAAAACCATTGCCCCTTGGCCTATCGCTACAGCCCCTGCTAAAAAGTCTGTCCCCATCTTTCTTATAAGCCCCCTTTAAGTAGTGAAAGGCTGCAAGAACATCTCCCCGAAGCCTTCTCTTCTCCAGGATCAACAATCCCAACTCCCTCAGTCTGTCCTCACAGGGGAGGTGTTCCATCCCTCTGATCATTGTTGTGGCCCTGCTCTGGACGCTCTCCAACAGGTCCATGTCTTTCCTATGCTGAGGGCTCCAGAGCTGGACGCAGGACTTCAGGTGGGGTCTCAGCAGAGTAGAGGGGCAGAATCACCTCCCTTGACCTGCTGGGCGTGCTTCTTTGGATGCGGCCCAGGATACGGTTGGTCTTCTGGGCTGCAAGCACACATTGCTGGCTCATGTCCAGCTTTTCATCCACCAGTATCCCCAAGTGCTTCTCAGCAGGACTGCTCTCAATTCCTTGTCCCCCAGCCTGTATTGATAGTGGGGGTTGCCCTGACCCAGGTGCAAGACCCTGCCCTTGGCCTTGTGGAGCCTCATGAGGTTCACACAGGCCCATTGCTCAAACTTGTCCAGGTCCCTCTGGATGGCATGCCACTCCTCAGGCGTGTGAATCACAACACTCAGCTTGGTGTCATCTGCAAACTTGCTGAGGATGCACTCAATCCCTCTGTCTATGTCAATGATGAAGGTATTAAAGAGTACTAGTCCCAATACAAACCCCTGAGGGTCACCGATCTCCATGTGGACATTGAACCATTGACCACTACCCTCTGGATGTGACCCTCTAACCAAGTGCTCATCCACCCAACAGTCCACCCATCAAATCCATCTCTCTCCAGTGTAGAGAGAAGGATGTTATGAGGCACTGTGTCAAAGGTCCCCCAAAGTCCAGAGATATGACATCTGTAGCTCTTCCCTTGTCCACTGCTGTGGTCACTCCATCAGAGAAGGCCGCTAGTTTGATCAGCCAGGACTTGCCCTTGGTGAAGACATGCTGGCTGTCTTGAATCACCTCCCTGTCCTCCATGTGCCTTAGCATAGCTTCTAGGAGGATCTAGTCCATGACTTTCCCAGGCTCAGAGGGGAGGCTGACAGAGCAGTAGTTCCCAGGGTCCTCCTTTCTAACATTTTTAAAGGGTGCTATGAGCTTATTTGTAAAAACTTTAGAACTATAAGTGCAAGATAAGCATATCGCTGGAATCATTGTTAACTTTGCTTTTCCATTAAGGAATCACAGCACAACAGCACAGTTGAAGAAGACTCTGAAGGAGATAATGATTCTGAGGAATTTTATTATGGAGGACAGGTAATGGAGAAAATTTTTGCACAAGTTTCAAGAAATTCATATTTGAAAGCTTCTGTTGTTCATTCCATTATAAATTTATGATAATAATCAATTTCTTATGTTTATTCAACATCAAATAGAATGCTATTATATAGCATTATATATATACATCATATTTTATCATCATAATATATGTGTATATTATATATACATCATATTTTATAGCAGAAATATTTAATATGTTATAATTTATATTTATATCAAAGCCAAAATAAGATCAGTTTGTTTACATTTGCAAAGCTGTGAGAATAGAAGCAGCAAGGATTCTTCAGAATGTTTGAAAATAGAAGCCAGTTATTTACTTCCAGGAAATAGATATTCACTCTTTAAAGCTTGTCCCATTATTGATACAAATGGGAATTCAGACTGGATCCAAATCTGTTTCCTTCTGGAGGATTGCCATTTTGTGAAGTCAAGAGCACTGCAATTTAATGGTAAAAATGGTTATTACAAAACAATTTTGATCTAGGCAATAATCCATTCTTTTTCTGAGCTATACAGTTAAATTCACCTTCAAAAATGCTGCATATTTTTAGATGAATGTACTGCTCTGTGTTTTTCCTTCTTGTTCCCTTCACAGAATTAGATATTATTACATTCTCTTATGTATTGTGAAAGAAAATCTCTTAATCTCTTTTCCTTTTGCAATGTCAATAGAACACTTCATGCTGCTAGTGTCTTTATTCAGATTTTTCTTATCTTTTCAGTCTAACTATTGGCCCAAGGGAATCATTCCTTACTTATGTTTTTAGAACTGTTTATTTCAATGAACATTTTAATGAATTACAGTTGCTGTTTATGAATTTTGTCACTGCCTCAGCCTTGAGGCTGAAGCCATCCGTGCCCTGGGTGGAGAGCCAAGGCTGTAGGAGCACGCCAGCAGTGCCAGCCGGTTGGGTTGGTGCAGAGAGCGTGGGATGCTGATGAGCAGGACATCGCTGAGCTTCTTATCTTTCAGAGCCAACAGTGTGGTGGGGTTTGAACACAAAATACACATTGAGGTGCTTTAAAAAAAAAAATGCGCACCTATAAAAAGCTATTAAAAATGATATTAAAACTGAAACTGAAAGAATGTATTTTCAGTGTTAGAAATAACTGGCATGGGGTATTGATTCATGTTCACTTCAGAAACAATAGCAGGAATTGCTTTGCTTCAGCTGACGACTCCTACAGCCCCATGGAGCACTGGGGAGGACAATGTACACACACATAGTGCAAAGAGCAAGGTCTTATTTTAATCTGCCTGAGAGGAAAATTCTTCTGATTTTGCCCTGTAAGTGATGAGTTGTGTGTACTGGCTCCATTTTTCAACTCTGCAGAAAGGGTAGTAACCTCAAGGTGAAGGAAGAGGCAGCAAACAGCTGGGGTGCCTATTTCTTGAACTAATACATTTGGTAAAGGATGCCTGCCAGTGCCCAAATGAATTAATAAATGCCTATGAGATATGGACACAGAGAGCAGTACGTTGTTTTGCAAGGTGTAACAGAGATGTGTAATAGTCAGTACTGGTTAGAATTTGGTTGCCTTGTATTTGGAGTGGAAACTACATTATATTGCATTGTCATTTTTTTAAGGTAATACATTTAATTGAAGCAATTATAACTGGCAAAAAAAAATACAATTACATCAGCAATAAAAATAAAATATCATATCACTGTGAATGTCTTGAGAATAGAATATTAAAAAGTGAAATAAAGAGAACAAAAAACAAAAAAAAGATATCATAGAAAGTATATTTAGCAATAGAGAAAAAAGGAAATTTTGAATTTAAAATTTCATGGTCAAAAAGACAAAATTCTAAAGAAGACCTGTAATATTAAATAAAATACTGCTGTCTCAGAAAATAATTACAAAATCAGCTAATGAGCAAAGTCCCTCAAGATTGTGAGAGTTATTAAGTGAGCACCAGGTGTATTGGGAAGACAAAATAGTTGACTGTATATGTGGGGAGCAAGCAAGGCAAAGGGCTTCATTTGAGACAAGTGTGTGCTGTGCCCACAGAGAAAGGAGACAAAAATACTGACTTTAGCAACTAGAGGGAATAGTTGCCAGTGTAATTGTGTGCAATACAGTTGGGAAAGATGGAGGTCAGGGATAATTCTTAACATTTCTAAGTCATTACAGCCGGAAAAGCAAGGAAACAACTGATGGTAAAACGACGAGCATGGAAGATGGGAAATTACATTTGATGGGCAGTGAAAACAAGATATGACCTTCTGGTCATAAATTAAATGTTTGTATCCGCTTCCTAGGCACCTGCTTGTAATCCTCCCTAAGAATTTAATGGATAAATACTTTAAAGTAGCTAAGTGATTCAATAGCCTAAGTCCTATTGATTTTCAATGGGATTTAGGTTTGTAAATCACTTAATCTCCTTTAAAAATGCAACCTTTTGTCATTTTGTGGGACAAAATAATCTGAATCAGGTCTCAGGTTGAAAACTGAGACTTTCTAAACACAGACCTTTCAGACACAGCAAAGTTAACAGATATTTTAGGTTTTATATTCACTTTCTCTGAGACTCTTTGTTAATTCTTGCTTTGAACCTCTATCTTCTGTATGAGATAGAGATTCAAATGAGAACAGGAGATTGAAACAGTAAAACTGAGCACCTTCTACGTTCACTCTCTCCCTCTTGTGCTTCAGTTAACAGGACACACTTGCAAATGCAGATATGGAAAACTCTGGCAGTCTTCTCTGCGTACATCAGCATGGCTTGTGGCCCTAAATCAGGGGTGGAAAATACCATACTGTGGTTTTGCAAATTGCCAGAACACTGCTTTGTTTCCTTTTTGAGTTAATAACCACTTACCATCAGAAAATAGATTGGAGAAAGCATTGTGTTGAGCAGTTCTGTGTTCTGCATAGTGTTCCTTTTGGATTTTACTATTATTGATACATAAAGCTGGTTGAAAATATGTGGTTTAGGATGAACAAAGGTGACAAGTGCACCACAGCTACAATTTGTGAAATGCTGTGTTCTCTTTGGAAGCAGGACAGCAATTATTTATGCATCTTTAATATCTCTTTGAATAATGAGCATGTAAAAAGCATTAGTTTACTCCTACCTAAAGTGAAAAAAAAAAAAAATAAAGTTTTTTTTCCCATGGTCTTCTACTTGGAAAATTGTTCTGACATGCCTGCCCAAACAAGGGAGGCATACTTGGCTTATACACTTTTGGTTATGAATATTGTTGATACCTCTGATAAACACATGCCCATGCTATGCTGATGAATTCTGTGCCTTATATCAGAAGGATTTTAAGTCTAATCAAATTATTCTTTGCTAATTTTCACGTCGAAAGTGATCAGCTGATTATTATTTTATTTCTATCAAAATTTATTTAATTAGATCGAAAAGTACATGTCTAGATATCAGAGCTGAAAGTGTCACAGCACTGGTCTCCTGCAGATTTGGATGTACAAATTGAAGAAACAATACTGTAGTTAGATATGGTCCTGCAATAGCAAGAATTGTCTGCAGGACTTCCTTGCGAGGGGGGAGCCAGGGAGAGGAAGAGAGAGATAGATGTCTAAAGGGATAAATTACACTCCTCTGCTTTGTTCTCTGAATTTGCCAAAGCCAAATCCTACTCTCATTTCTGAATCTGTCCAAATCTAGGGCTTGAGACACTTGGTATATAGAATAGTTTCATGCTTCTCTTGTTGAGCCCAAGCCATTCTGTGGCTAATACGTATGAGAGTGTGACAACAAGCAAGAGGGAGCAAGCCTTTGTCCTGTAGTGGTTGGACTGGGATGGTACGACTGGCGAGATCTGGTTTTTCTCCTACTTAACAGTTTTAAAATGCACAAGGGTCCAAGAACAAACCCCAGGATAAGACAGGACAGAGGGACGAGTCCTTCGCAGGGCTAATTCTCCCACAAACAGGAAAAACCAAACTCAAACTCCTCTTTTCCCACAAACAGGAGTGGTACCCGGAAAAAAATTTCGATGCAGAGGTACTTGCTTTGCAAATCTCATTGCTTAGCAGAGCTAGACAACCTTAGTGCTTCCACTTACCAACACAGTGTCCTTTCTGAGTGTGGCATTAAGGAATCTTTACACAACATATCTTGCGGGGGAGGAACTTTCAAGAGCCTAGATCAGGTGCCAGTAATGCAACAAATAAGAACTCCTGGGATTTTTTTTTTCCCCGGTAGGTTAGCTACGATGGAGAACTTCACAAGCACCCACAGCTGGAGGCTGATTTGACAGCAGTGAGAGAGATCTATGGACCTAATGCAGTATCTCTCAGGTATGTCAATTGACCTTTCCATGTTGTGGAACCTTTAATGTTTTGGAGATTGCATTCCTTCCCTAACTGCCAAAGCACAAGTCTCTTCTGGGGATTTTGGCATGTTGTATGGCAAAAGGAAAGAGCACTGCTGGCTATAAATAATGCTGGCTTTGTTCTTAATTTTTTTGTGGTTGAGTACTGATGCAACTGGCTGTACCTAGAACAGGCTCTGGAAGCCTGTTCTAAAACATCATTGTCTTTTGCAGTTCAGTTGGTATTTGATCAGGCCATTGTATTTTATTGAAAACTACTGTTCAGCATTACTCTAAACCATTGTTAAATACCTTTTCTGTCATATTCTGTCTTTTGCCCTGAAGGTGAACAAGAGGAATGATAACATATTTAGTAAATGTTTTCCCTAGTGAAAGATTGAAGGAATTGGATTTGTCTAGTTTGGAAAAAAGAGAAGACAGAATAACAGTTCTTGTTCTTCAAAAAAGCTGTTTGTAGATAGGAGGAGTGTATCAAATGTTCTGTATTGTCATCATGAGAGAGACATTAAGAAACTAGCTGTGTTAGCAACAAGCAAGAATTTTATTAGATTTTAGGAAAGCTTTCTAATTGTGGGAATCTAAAGTATCCTACACAGGGAAGTGATGGAACCTCAGTCAGAGGTTCAAAGAATAATTACACACAAATTCTGCCAGGCACATATGAGCGTGTATGATTCTGCCATAGGGCATAGTTGTACAATATATTTAATACACTTTAGGTCTTTTATAACTTCATTTTCCATCTGTGTAATCTTAGTAATTTCATAAAAATAACAGGTAGGCGAGATGTAACAGACCTGTCAAACGTATTACAAAGAAAATACCAAATTTGTCATACAAACCAAGTAATCAAATGCAGAGAAGATAATAGCCTTAGGCATACATATATTGCAAGTAACAGTTCCCATTAACCTCTAAACAATAAGATCTGTTATTTTTGTCTAAGAAGAGGGAACATGTCTACCGCTATGGTGTACTATACTTCTTCAAATTAAGTGGAAATTTCATTACATTTTGAGAACTTGGGGAATTGAAATCCGAATAGTTGTATAAGGGTTTAGGAAATGAATGAGATAAATGTTCAGTTGCCAAACTGATAACTATGAAATAGAGAATACCTCGATAATAGGCTCCCTCAAGCCTATAATTGAAACATTATATGTAACCTTTCAAAAACTTTAATGCATCTAATTTATTGAATTAACTGTTTCACTGGAAGCATTGTGATCTCCTTGAGCTCACCGTAGTAGAAATTGGCATCTGTGACTGCTTTTGGCATGCGGAAAACTCTAATGGTTCTTCCACTCTGTTGCAGTGGAAAATACTTATAAATTCTTGGGCACGACATACACAGCATTTAAGCATTCAGTTTCATCCCTCTCCTGCAGCTCCTCTTCTCTCTAGATAGAGAAATCTGTCTGATGGTGACACCCACTAAGATGCCTATTTCCTAGACAGTTGACCCTCTTTTAGTAGTCTCTTGCTGTCACAGAGTCAACTGTACATATAAAAGTGAAATTCCTATACCTGCATGCTTTTCACCACTGCCTTTGAAATCTGGCCACCAAAGCGGTAAGACCTCTGGACCAGATGATCCAAACTCTTCAGTATCTATTTACATTGCTCATGCATTGATGGATGGAGGACCTCTGGGAGCTTCAAAAGCAAGATGTGTTCATGGAGCCATTGGAGGCAGCAGAATAGAAGCTGCAGGTGCTGGAAGAAAACATGATTTCTTCCTCCATTTCGCCTTGGGGAAGTAAAACTAGAGTCAGCATCATGTGTCTAAAATCCATTTTCTAGGATGGTAATGAAGTGGAGGCAAAGGGATTTCAGTGAGTATGGAAAATCCACAGTTATAACTTTTTAATGTTATCCTTTCTTTCACTAATATTTCTGTGTTTCATTAGTTCAACTACGATTCTGTTTAATTAATAAAACAATGCTTATTTGCAGCCTTTTGAATCTCAGTCATGTGCGTAACACCAGCCTGTGTTCATAGATATTACTTGAGAGGTCATAACAATCTGTTCTCTGGAACTTCTGGAAGATTAACAAAAAAATCTGAGACCACTGTTGTGTAGGATAATGGCTAAGACATTCTGTAGGTGGAGAATTTCACTGTTTCAAAGCTAGGTCTTCAGTGGGCTGTAGGAGGGTCAGCTCTGGGGTGAGTCGACCCTGGAGCAGCTGTCAGGTTGGCTGGGAAGCCTCCAGGTAACACAGCCCTGGCCAGCCATTTGCCTGCCCTGCGTCTGCCGTGTGTGGACGTGTCTGATCTAGAGAGAGATTTTGGGTTAGCCCTTACCAGAGAGAACCATTGGGATGCCGAGGTTTGGTGGAAGAGGTTCCTTCCACCAAACTTCACAAGGGGTCAAGGCATTTCCAGTGCGAGCTAGGTCCTACCATGGGCTGAGAGGCCACTTTGGTAGGAGATAGTTATATTCACAAAAATACTATATTTAAAAATTGCCTTATCAACTTAACTTACGCACAGCTGCTACTGTGCACTGTCTTGGTCTACTTTAATAGAAAATTATGGAAGTCACTGTGAGAACAAGCATATAAATGCAGTGTAAAGAAAAAACCTAGTGACTAGAAGCTAATCTGATAAATTGAGAGTGACTGCACTTTTAGAGTATTGTCCACTTAAGTAATTTAAATGAAAAGAGTTTATTTAGGTGTATGAATGAGTATTTTCTAGCTGTATTTTTCCGAAATTTTCAAGTATGTTGTGGGAGGGCAACCAGAATGAGTCAGATAATAAGAGGCAGAAAAATCAGACTTTAAATGTAAGATTTCAGATGGCAATAAGACACCTATAGGCATAAGTTAAATCTAACCTTGGAGATGCCAGCAATGCTACATATAACAAATAAAATAAGGTGACTATTTCCTTGAGCACATTACAGGGCAATCTTTATGTTTTAACAAACAAATGCTTGAATGTATGAAGCAATCCCACAGGTATTATATGCCACCCCCTAGGCTATGTTGTATTTGTCTTCATGATTTATCTCAAGCCTCTGCTTAGGGTACTGGCTGTTAACCTGAAATACTTTTGAAAATTAACTAGGATTTTCTTTTGTCATAAATAGGAGCACCATGTGGCCATTATTGTTTTCTTGATTTATTTGTGCAACAAATTTTTGTGAGACAAAAATACATAGCAGCAATAGAGAAAGAATTTGGGCGAATTAGTAGAAAAAAAAATTAAGCTGTTTAAGCAAAATCTACTGAAAGAAAGTTTCAGTGCAGCAGATGGTCACCCACTGGAAATATTGATTCAATCTATGTAAGCATGTATTTTATAACCATTCTGATTTCACTGACAAGGTTATCCTTTATAAAATCTTCCCTGTTATAAGTACTCCTGGTCTGAGGAGTATCTTAAAGACCTCTAATGTAATGTAATTCTTTCCTTTCAGGGAATATGGAGCCATTGATGATGTAGATATTGACCTGCATATTGATGTTAGCTTTCTTGATGTAAGTAATCTAATCACAGAGTTACATAATGAACATTAATACCCATTTAATTCTGCCACACATCAGACTCTGTAGACAACCATTGAGACTTTCCTTTTTCGGAGACTTGATCTTCACAAGTGGCTGTCACAGTATTGATTGCTACTCAGTGGAAAGGTTTCTGTTCCTTCTATGATCACATTATTAAAACGCTTTGTAGGCTTTTATTTACTGCATGTGTATTTCATTTCAAACATGCTTTGTGAATGGTAAATGTTTTAACTGATACAAGTGAAGTACATTTCTTTTTTTGCTGTCCTAGACATTAGTTAGGTGAAAGCACTTCATAGAGTCCTGGAAGAAAGAAGACCTTGGCTGGAACTCTCCTGTGTGCTTCTTAACATCTGCAGCTCATTAGGGAGAGTCTTGAGTGGCAAATGAGACACAAGACAGTGGTGCTGTCGACTGGCAGCATGGTTTCTGTAACAGTTATGCTGTCATTAACTCCACACTAACTTTTTTAACTCCTCACCTCATCTGTGCAGTAACATCCTGCCCTCTAGATAGGGAATAAAAATTAGTGCTTTTAGGGCATCATTAGCTTCTGCACAGATATGTCATATTCTCAGGTCAGCATCGCACATACGACAGTTGTTCTAGGGCATTTCTAAAATTTAAGGAAGTCTGATTGTATCTTGAATTATCTTAATCATCCTTGAGGAGGAAATGTTTCCTTTGCCCTGTGCTAGGGATGAGTTTCCTTTCCATCTTTAGTTGCTCCTTTGCTTCTCAGCTTTGAAGCAGTATCTCTTGATAGATGGGAATGTGTCTGCCTGCACTGTAAACGTAGATTTGTGTATAAACCTGTTCTCATTTTAAATAAGCATACTCAAGAATGGCAAGCAGTCTAATACTGCTCTTAGGGGCACCAGCAGGCAATAGTTTGTCCTAAGTCTCAAGCGTGAAGTTGGAGTAGATATAGATATTCCACAACTGGGTAAATGCCTGAATGGTGTTTGTAATAACCCTAAGGTAGACTGACAAAAGGAGCAGCTCCTCATGATGACTAATGGTGTCTGTTGTTTATTTTTTATCTTGAACTAGGAAGAGATTGCTGTGGCTTGGGATGTAATTCGCACAGAGCCGATAATAGTGCGATTACACTGTTCACTTACACAGTACTTACATGGTCCAGGTTAGTCACCTGTGTATTCTTCATATGCCTTGTATAGTGTCTCGGTCTGAGCCATGTAGTAGGTGATAGATATTCATTCACTGCCAGATCTTTGACCCTGCATGTGCTTAGATATACCACTGAGAGCAGTCCTACTTGTTTGAAATTATGCTTACATATATTTCTGCGGCTAGACCCTCAATAATGGCATGGGTATCAAATTTAAACTTTCATAGGTTAATTTTTGGAACTTGTTTTCCTGATATCTTTTGCAACTGACTCCTCTAGGAACCGGGGTTAAGGAATAAAGATTTACAGTTTGTAATATGTAATTTCCTGATTTTGGAAATCAGGCATTATCTGCACACATGAGATATCACTGATAAGGTATACATACACAGACCTGTGCAGCATATTAATATGCCCTTTTTCACGCAACTTTGAAAAATCAGGCTTCAATAATTATCCTTTCATCTTCTGATTTTGATATGACCATGTGAACTCTGTGAATCTTTACATTTGAATGAGTTGTTAAGTGAGTAAAGATTCCTCATGAGAGTAAAAACGGTCAAACTCCTGAAGAATCAACTGATTTTGAAGATTTGGAAACGTTCTTCAAAGAGTCAACTTCAGATATATTTTTACAGTGGGAAGTCAGAACTAAGTCGCAATTTGGATCATAACTTGCCTAGCTTCAGAGGCTTCCAGTACAAGCTGTCGGTTCAGGCTTGTATCTGTAGGAGAATTGTGCATGTGGGAAATTAATAGATATTTCCAGTCATAATATGTTTAGCAAAATCTGTCTCAATGAACTATTTTTATAGAATATGTATCTTGCTGATGCTAACTATAAGCTATAGTCTGTTCGTTCAAATAAGTAATTCATTACATCAATCTTTTTTTTTTCGTTGACTTTGGTCTTTTTGTCTGTATTCTATTGCTTTAACCTTTTTTACAAATATACAGATTTTAAAATACGAATTTGCCGTAGCAGGTAGCAGTGTTAGTATTCAGAATAGTTCTATATAAATGTAATTCAAAAAATAAAAAAGTGCAGCAAATAAGAGAAGGTACAATGTGAAGTAAGAAATGACCTAGTAAAATGAGAAGTAACTGCAAGATACCTTCTGCACTGTTGGCAAGGTTAAAACAGGAAGCTTAGCTCCCAGTCCTGCAGCTGACTGCTTGTGGGAGTGCCTGAGTACCAAGAAAGGTAAAATCAGGGCCAGAGGTAAGTGCTTCGATGTCACTGGTTTTATGAGCCCAGCCACTGTTGCAGTGATGTCTCTTTATTTACCAGAAAAGGACAATGAGATCCACCACCTTTTGTGTTAACAAGACCCTTTCTCTGTGTATTCCTTTTCTCCCTTAAATATGTTTTTTTGAGACTACTGGGCCATAACTTTATGCTACATCTTTTTCTCCTGTAGTATTTTCTGTTGATTGATAAAAGAAACAGAAATGCAGTATACACCAAAGCAGAAAGGGGGGTATGAGTACCACCTTGTAATATCCTGATTTTAGATAATCATTCTTCTAGTTAGTAACTTGTCTCATTATTGTATTTCTCCCACGTGCCTTAGAAACTTGTCTTAGACGAGGAAGAATCAGGCTTTTGGAGGTACCAGGCTGTTTCCTCTGGCTGTAGAGCTTAGACAACAATTGCAGTCTAGATGACAAATTTTAAGATTTCTGGTCTAGGTATGATTCTCATTGAAAATATTCCCCTTCTACCATGTCTCCTAAATCTGACAACCTAAAGACATTGCTACCCCTAATCAAATCATTCATCCCTTTTGAAAAAATCATCAGTTTGTCTTTAAGAGATGAGATTATATTTTAATGATAACGTTAGAGAAAGAGTATCTACAGGGCTTTGAACTAAGTAAAATTGGATGGTCAGGTTAGATATATTGTATTTTATTTTTAAAAATTTATTAGAGCAAATTTTTAGAGCATAAATTTTTTAATTTATTAGAGCAAAATTAAAGGATAAACTTTGACATTCTGAATAGAATCTGGCTTTCTGAGTGATCAGAATAATACAGATTTTAAAGTACTGGTGTACTTTTTCTAATAAAATTTAAACCAACCCCAGATTTTTTGTTTTCATTCCTTTTCTATTTTACTGATAGTCATTATCACCTTATGTAATATGAAGTATAAAATCTATTTGTGCTTTTAATATGTGTTGGCTGTTGTCCTGCCTTGAGGACCTGAGGCTCTCTCAAGAAGTGCTGGATTCCATCTGCCACTTCTATCTAAGAAATGTTATTAAAGGGTTTTAGTAATACTAGGAGCTAATTTCCAGTCTTCACCATGCACACTTTCAATTTTCTGACAGATGAATATGGACATACCAGTGCTAGTACAGGTCTTGAGAAAAATTCAGGGTAATCCTTGGCCACTGGAATTCATCTCTCAGGCACTTAGATGACAATTGTGGATCTTGTGTTAAAACACCCTCAGAAAGAAAACTCAGATACTAATTAATTTGGTTTATTCCACTCTGGGTTTTCTACATCGTCACAGGAACTTTAGTGTGTAAAGACTACTTACTTAGAAAAAAATTTAAGAGATTAGGTGAGATGAATTACCAATCCAGATACATTTAATCTGGTGCTGCTCTCTCATAATACGAGAGACGTGTTTTTGTAATTAAAATTAGTGGGAAAAGGTACATTTGGGACAATTCAGTTTCTAAAATACTCATCTGTAAAATTACAATTTATATTGGCTGACATTCCAAAAAGGACCATTCATTTCTTAATATGCCTAGATGACATGTCCACTTTCACCATTGCTTCAGTGGCATTGTCTATAGTAAAGGTCCAGATAGAACAAGGTCCTTAAATGTGATTTATATGGTCATGAGTTCTTGATTATTGCTGTAAGTTTGTATATCAACAATATCTCCTTTTTCCATAGTGCCAACTGTGGATGTATTTCAGATCTCTACTAAGGAAAGATTTGGGCTGGGACATCAGCTGAAAAAGTAAGTCTAGAAAAGTGTAAACCCTTGTTTTCAGACAAATACTCTTTTTAGTTCCCAGGCCATGTCAAGTAGGATAAAATTCACAGGTTGTCAGGTTGGTTGAATCATTGTGTTTTGAACTTGGTTTTCTTTAAATACAAAATAACAGGATTTGCCTGTTCAATTTTGACAGTTGTTGAGAACCTGATTTGTGCTGCCTGCCAGGGTTTTCTGTCACTTTGCTGCCATTTAGGAAGTAGGCTACAAAAGTTCAAAAGACTGTAGCTAGGAGTGTTCAATTTCATGTTTCTGCTTAGATGGTGAAGCTTCTGGAGCAGGAATCTTTTTCAGCATCAGGCATACCCTAAGGGGCTATGCTTTCATGGTGGCCTCTAGGATGTACCACAGTAATTAGGCCATCCGCATTTTGAGGACAAGAGGGAAGAATAGTCAAAAAAATTAGCAATTTCATGTGTTCATGGCCCAATTAAATTTAATACCATTTTGCTGAGTCACCTTTTTACATATGCTTGTGTACGTGTAATAAAATGACAAGAATATAGGTTTTAGTATCTGACCATTACAACATTAAAAATCGCATAAGAAAAAAAAATATTTTGCTGTTTTGTGTTTAAAGAAATTCAGTGCAACGTTTTTGTAACCTTACAAATAAAGAAATATTAAAATCTCCATGGTACATGACTTCGAAGAAAAAAAAATGAAACAATTCCGGGACATGAACAGTCTCTTAAACTGTTTCAGTGCTTACACTGTCTCTGATTCATGCACCAGGTAATTACAAAAGGTTCCCATAAGACATTTTCAAGGACGTAGCTGTTGATCTGAAGACAGAGTACCCATGAACCCCATGGCCCCTCATGACTGTGGCAACATGATGTTCATCTTTGAAGATTCACTAAATTTTTTATAAAGTCCATACCAACTTCCACTTTGACTTTATCACTCTAAGACCCCCACTGCTAGATTAGAGTCACAGAGTAATTTGGCTTGGAAGGAACTAGGTCACCTACTGCAACCTCCTGCTCCAAGTAACACTAATTTCAAAGTTAAGTTAGTTAACTCAGAGTATCAGTCAACTGAGGTGTGAAATCTCCAGCCTTTGTGGGCAATGTGTTGTACTTAACCACTCTTCTTGTGGATGTCCTCTTTTTATAGCCTTTATGTTTTTTAGCTTTCCTTGCTACAATTTGGGACCACTCCCTTTTGCTGTCCATCTCTGGGAAGTGTCTGGCTCTGCTGGGTGGTGTAATATGTGACATCCCTACCTTCATGTTTGTGCCTTAGGAGAATATGCGCCTACTTGAGCAGCGTGGATGCTGTAGTCTACCTCTGTAGTCACTAGAGACAGGAGCCTATAGTTGCATGGAATGCCATTGAATCAGTTTGTTTCTACATCTCCCTGAAAGGCATACCTGCATTAAGTCTTGCAATGGTTGTTTGCACAGACTGTATTCTTAATAAGAGTTCCGTGTAAATTAATTTTATGTGTAAAAATGCATTTTTGAGGAGCTGAGGCACCCAATCATCAGTCTACATACATGATGGAAAAACTCTTGCCTGTAGAGTGAGGACATTGCATCATGTCACCTACGTGGTGAGCAGGGACACTGTAGTATTAAGGTGAGTATGTCTTGTGTAGGATAAGAAAATCTTTTTTTCCTTCTTCATTTGCAGAATCATGCAGACATTTGTTACACAACAGTGGAAGAACAGCAAAGAGAAATCTAATTGTACGCACAATAAGAAGGTGTCTGACAAAAAGGTGAAATCCCCTCTGCACATCTTTTCTACATTGCGCAGGTAATAGCAAGGAAAATGAGCTGGTATCACCATATCCCGTTCAAAATCCACAGCAGACTTCACAAGGTGAAATGTTGACTTTTCTCCACAGAGAAGTGCTCTATTTATATCTTACCTCATGGGTTTCCAGTCCTTGCCTTGCATGACATCAAAAGTGAACTAGGTACTACTGCAGCTTCTAAGACTACTTGAAGGCAGAGCATTTCAATGCCCTGCTCTCTGAAACAGCCATGTTTCATCTAGAATTTCAAATAATTTATTTTATATTATTTACCTTGCTGTATTTGTATCTTTATTAGCTTGGTAGGATTTGACTGTTACTTGAATAGCAAGGATACAAATGAAAGTAATATATAACATATGTATTATATTTATTTTGTTAAATGTGGTTGTCTGGCTGTTCTTTCCACAGCTGTGTGTATTTTTAATTTTGTAAAGGTAGAATGGTCATTAATGAAAGATTGATTTTTAGAGCTGCTGAGCACCCACCCCTCTCCACTGTTCCAGTACATTAATGTTCACCATTTCTGAAATGCGGGCACGGAATTTCAAAGAACAAAGGCATCAAAACCATAACAAGTAGTTTGTGAATAGTTCATTTGAATTCATTATGACTTCTGCCAGTTACTCGTACTCTTACCTCTTTCAGGAATGTGATTATTTACTCCAGCATGTTTTCCTGCTTATGAAAGGTTGACAGATCACCCCTTCTGTGAATTTTAATTGAATTTAATTGAATGCTTCTTTGAACATTCCTTCTTTTTCATGAATTTTACCATTCTAAATTCTGTGTATAAAAAAGAGAGGGAATGCAGTGATCACTCACATGAAAGGAGGGAGCACCATTCCTACCTCCTGTCTGCAGGAGAGTGGTGGTGAGCCAACTGCAACAGTGAGTCAGCAACCTCCACGTGCATCTTCCACTGTCACCACTTGCTAACAGGGTGGGGAAACCTGCCAGCCTCTCCCCTTGGGGTTTCACTTCTTTTCTATTCGATCCAAGCCCAAAAAATACTCCAAAGATTGGGGTTGCTTATAAAGCATAGAAAAATGATTCAGCGTACCTGTTACATGTTCTTGCTTTGCAAGGACAAGAGAATGTGAGCCTTGTAGAAATGTGACAATTCATGTGCACGTTGTTTTGTAAAAACCTTTTGTTCTTCACTTTCCGCATTCATAATTTAAGTCCCTCACCTTCTCATTTCTAGTGTTACAGAGCTAGAATTTGTCTAAAACAGAAAGAAGGGCATCAAGCTGTCTTCCACAAAGCACCCAGATTATTAGGAGGTTATTAAAAATAATGTCAATTTCAGCTGAATTAAATTTTATTTTTAAATAACTGCCTGCAAGTTTCATTGCTCATTGTATCTTCCATTGGATCTGGACATAGAATTTGTTATGCTCTGCCCAGAAGACAGAACTTTAATGGGATCATGCCATGATTTCCATTAGGAAAGACAGATTTTGATAAGGGAAATGTCTTATAATCTTATATTAAATATGAAGGTTTAATTTCAAAGATAATTTCACAAATAAATGGTTTGGTTAGAGACATAGTGATCTTTACAAAGAGCTGTAAGGATATAGCTCTTAACTTCTACTTAAGTAGTTAAATGTCTTTTTAATCAATGAGCTTGTGTATAAATAGGAGTTAGATGTCTATTTAGTGTTGGAAAATCAGTCCTAAATACTATTGCTCATTTTTTAAATGTTGGGTTTCATTTATTCATTAGTGAAATACATAAAGACACTTACAAATTTTTGTATATGCATGGTCTTGCTTGATTTGCACAGGATTTTGATTAATGATCAACTTTTTCTTCTTTATTTTTAAGGTCGCCAAGTTATCCTCCACCTGGCTGTGGTAAAAATAAATCAAAACTGAAATCAGAACAGGATGGCATCTCTAAAACTCACAAGCTGCTGAGAAGGACTTGCTCTAGCACAGTGAAGACAGAGGATGTGTGTGCCACAAAATCTCACAGAACCTTTGGTCGCTCGCTGTCGAGTGACCCTAGGGCTGAACAGACAATGACTATTAAATCGCACAAACTGTTGAACCGTTCTTGCTCTGCAGCCGTGAAGCAGGAGGAGTGCATCACTTTAAAGCCCCATAAGTTGTTAAGTAGATCATGTTCTGGGGACCCTCGATGTGAGCACAACAGCACCTTGAAGCCCCACAAACTTTTAAGTAGGTCCTACTCCAGTAATCTTAGAATGGAAGAATTGGATGGATTGAAGAATCAAAAGTTACTCAGCAAGACTTGCTCCAATGCCCCTAAATCATCCAAAATGGAGCCTTTCAAGGAGTCCAACATAGCTGAGAGCAGGAGGCTCTCTCTTACCTCAGGGCTTATTGGTATCTTAACACCATCTTCATCATCACCCTCACAAGCTGCTGTGCGTAGTAATTTTTTTATTCTGCTCATTTTCCTCCATTCCAAATGTGCTGTTATGCTTATTATGCAAAGGCATTAATACTTAGGACATATGTTAGTGAATATACTGGATATATTGAATATATTGGAAGACAAGAGCAATGGAGTCAGCTTTTTTAAGGAGGATTTAAACAACTGTGCATGCACATATATTTCACTTACAAAATCAGAATTTTCTTAGGTCAAGACAGAGATGCTGTATGTCATGTGGAATACAGCCCAATGTACATGGGAAAAGTTCAATCATCCACTTCCTTCCCTCCCTCCTTTCTTGGTGTAGGAAGAAGGGAGTGTGTGAGCTTCCGTGCTGCAAAATTGGCTTGGTCACACAGGCCTTTTCTCATTTCCCTGTTTGCTTCATGGGCAAAGCAACTGTCCATTGGCTTGTTTGGGTGCCAAGGCACCTCTCCTTCTGGTCTCTGCAGCTGTGATCATCATCATACTGGAAGGAATGCAGTCATGATTCAACTTGCCTCTTGCGCATTTGCGCTCTGTGAAAGGTTTAATCTTCAAATGCACTGGTGGCAGCCAGGGAAGGAATTAAGCCCACGCTGGACCCCTTTCTTTCCCCACAGACATGACTGATTCAGAAAACAAAATAGCATGTATTCTTAAATTTAAGAAAGAGGTCTCAAAATTAGTTCTTCTGCCTCTTCCTCTTAAGGGATAGCTTTTATACTTCAGAGGAATGAGTGGGTCTCTTTGCACTCTTTCAAGGCATCAGTCTCTTTTCTGTGTTAGATCTGGGGAGAAGCAATTAGGAGATAGTCCTCTCCACTCCTTAGCATGGTGGTACCTTGATGTTCTCACCAAGAAAAAGCTGATTCCTGCTTAAGATGCCTTATATATATTAAAAATAGTGCATTCTGAACAATGAAATCACATTGAGTGTGCTGTGTCTCATGGTAAATTAGTTTAATAAGCTGTGAGCTATACTCATTAGATCTAAATGGAGTGATATACTATCATAAAATAATTTATATACATGCTATGTGGTTGGTTCTTGTAATATGCACAGCAAAATTAATTTAAGGTGAGCCAACAGACTTTTTACTTTTTACAGTTTAGAGATGCATTTTTTCTGAATCAGCAGAGGATGTCTTAACATAACAAGACTTTTCTCTCCTAAAGTAATAGGAGAAATCCCATTGATTTTGATAAGATAGTGAAGAATTGACTAAGTGATTTCATTACTGATGTTATCAGCTGATATGAAAGAAATGCAAGCCCTGCTTGGCAGTCTATAAAAACTACCAGTAATTTATTGCTAGAATGCATTTACTGTGAGGGAAAATCATCACATACATGATCAGGTGCAGTCTGATGTTAGTGGAAGGACGTCAAGAGTCCATTTCACATTTTACGTGCAGGCACCCAGATGTATGGGCAGCCTGTGTGCCTAACTGCGATTTGAAGTCAGTGGAATGTGGAAGTCATGAATTGGGACCCTAACTTCTCTCAATTCTCGGCTAATATATTTGAATCTCATATATGAATACAATTAAGCTTGTTTCCCAGGAGAAACAAGGAAAAAGTTACCCAATTAAGCAGTTAGAGAAATTAAATAAAATAAGCCTATAAACAAAAAAAGAAAAGTCAGAAATGGAGCCTATCTGATTCTTATTCAAAACAAGTTTTGATTGAGGTAGATGCCAGCCTGGAGGCAATATTATACCTTACTGACTTCTGTAACAGAAGTTCCTTCTAATTTATGTTGGACATAAATTCCACACACATTTATGTGTGTGGAAAGAAAAAGGCTGAAAGAATTTGAGTGAGATCTGAGCATAGAAATCTGTTAGTGTGGTGCTTACAGAAGTGAGATTTTTGTAAATATAAAAGAAAAAGATTTTCTGCTGTTCTGAGAGTTACATTAGTCATTCAATACTAAGCACATAGCCCATATTTGGATAGACAATCCGCAGCTAAAATTTAATGGAAGTTACCAAATGACAATTTATTAGAATGGAGTGAAGGTACTGGTGTTTGTATTTGAGATTAAAGTTTTGGGGATGCTGAGATACAAAACCTCATCGGATTTAAGAAAAGAAATGCTAAAATTCTAACCCACACTCAGCAAGCAGTAAAAGGATTGATTATTTGTAATGGCTGGTTTATGCAAATGAGGGATGCTTTTAGATGCAAATATTGTTTAATTAATGTATTTGCACACAAAAAATACAATTGTTTTACCATTTCCTTATAATTAGTCTACCAACACTGAAGTTGCATCAACTTTTTCCTTGCAGCAAAATTATGGTGCAAAATGCATTCCAGTACAAGACCGTGGCTTTCTTGTGCAGGTAGGATGTCATATCTTACCCATTTACAAAACACTGTGGAACATGAGCTGACTGTTAATTATTTTTAAGCAGATATTATTACTCTCATTTTCATTGTTCTCAGACTATTGAATTTGCTGAGCAGCGGATACCAGTGTTGAATGAATACTGTGTAGTTTGTGATGAACCCCATGTGTTTCAGAATGGCCCTATGCTGAGGGTAAGTAAGTGGTGTGCTTGCTGGGATATACAATGCTTTTTCTAATGCCTTAAATAGCAATGGACCATACAAACCTGTTACAAAACTATTGAACTATTTCAGATGTGTTTCATCCTAGTATCCTTTTAAGATGCAAAAATATAATACATATAAACAAGATTTTGCTGTAAATTTGAAAAAAAAAATATTGCAAGCAAGGGAGAAGGAAATCAGGCTTGTATAATACCACAGAAATATAAAGGAGGGATGTATTTCACTGGACGTTATTGTGCTAGAGTAGTCGCAACTGGATAAGATAGAGGAATTGTGTTAGAGTGCTTTCCTGGTCTTCTGTCACTCTTTTAAAAGCTTAGGGTGACTCCAATCCTTAAGCTCTTATCAGGCCGCTGCCGGGGTATTCAGATACACTGGTGTTAATGCCACAAGGCTGTGAAGTTCTACTGACCCTCTTTTGCTCATGGGCCACTGGAATGAGCCATCCTCCATAATGTGATGAAAAAGGCGGTAGAAGGAGATGGTCTGTGAAGTGTCTGTTCGAGCAGTGACCTAGTCAGGGGTACTGTTGAGGTTCGGTACTCCCAAAGTCTGGCCAGTTAGACAGCTCTTCCTTCCTTTCATTGATGTGTAACTGGGAACCAGGGATTTTGCTTGCTGAACAATTGTACCATCTCATGCTGTTGGTGAATGCATACAGTGAAAAAGACTAAGATTCGTCATGAGACACACTCTGCCTGGAACTACTGGATCAGTGCAGCTTTGTAAAAGAGTATATTAGGAGAATAAAATTCTTACTTTAGGACTGATCTTGCAGTTTAGAATCCTTATTTCACCTGTTCAGACTCCTGTGGAAACCTGAGTAACCTTAAAAGATTAAAGCCGTGGAAAACTGTTTAATACCATTGCGTGAATGCTCCGATACCTCATCTTCCAATTTCTCCAAGTGTAGCGAGCATCTACACATAAATTGAAGCAGACATCACCTATGATAGTTCCAAGGAAGTAAATTCAGGAAGGTTACTGCTTACATGGTAGCAGAAGTCACCTCAGCATCATCCCCCGTGACACTCAGTGGCACCACAGTCAGGCATTCTGACTGCAGGCAGGGTATGCAAATAGGCTGCTAACAGGATTTGCAAAAGCATCTACATACTCAGTTAACACCGTTTTAAGTCATGGTCAAACATCTGTAATTATGAAAATCCTATCAGGTGGTTTTTTTGCCTCTTCAAGCTCATATTTATCTTTTAAAAACATGGTTTTCTGCCAGGTTTATCATCAACGTCATGTTAGCTGTCTATTTGAGAGTTTGTCACTGCTTCAAAACAGAGGAGGGTTAAATTCATCAGTGCCTTTGCAAGCAGCATAACTTAGCAAGCTTTGCAAAAATGAAAGGGTGTCCTTATATAACCCAGAGAGGAGATAGTGGGAAGAAATCTGTGTATGCTTGAATGACTCAATAAGCAATATAGAGCCATTAATGAGTTTGCAGTTTTGTAGAAGGTGAGAAAGGATCTCAGTTTGAATTGAGCATGAGCTTGCCAAAGGGTCTTAAGGAAATTTATGCTTCACTCTACTGAGAACTCTGGCAGAGGCAGCCAAAAGTAGTCAATTGTAGGGTTTATTTACATGCTTCAGCTGCACACACACATACATATATATATATATATAATGTATATAAAAGGAATAAAGAATGACCCAACTGAAAGAGTAGTTTATGTTTAATACTGCTGCAATGCACATCTCAGAAATACAGTACTTTATTAAGCAGAATGCAGGAAGCTTTCATGTAAGGCAAGGCTACATGCTATCTAGCTTTACGTCGCCTAATGAATCCCGTATGTGGTATCTCTGGCCTTCATAAAGACCTTCAGAGTGCTCATACTTTTGATACCACAGTAACTTCACCAGGTTCCTTAACGATCAGAACCTTGCTACGGTCTGCTTATATTTTTAGATTCTGTGTCTAGATCCCATTTTCTACAGATAGCCGTCTCTCAAAGGCATTACTTAGATTGTAGTTGGTTGTATCAAATTGATGCTACAGACTAAATAGCTCTGGATGTTTCACCAGTCTTTTCCTTTAAAGAACAGTTCCTCCACACAGATGCACACAGGATTATGTCTGGATGTGTGTATCCTTACTGATGAGTTTCCCTTCTACCTTTTGGACCTTTTTTCCTATAGGAAAGAAGGTATAGGAAAGCATAGCAAAGTTATTGCTTGAGAAGTTATTTTAAAACGTCTTTAGCCTTGATTTTCTAGTATTTAATGGAGTTTTACACAATTGAAGAGAAGCCAGTAAGGAATTTGATTCTGTAATCCTCCAGTATGTCAGCTTGACACCTTTCTTAAACTATGGTGTAGGTTAATTGATTGTCTTGAAATGCAGTTTAAAAAATTCAACAATTGCCATCACATAATACTTACATCCTTTTAATACTGTAAACTCTCTTTCTAAGAAGAAAAAGTATTATTTAACCTCTTGCATAACATAGACCATACTATTTCATGCAGTTATTCCTAACAGTGATCTGAATCCTACATATTTTACTCTTCATAGAAGGATTAAGAAGTAGCTTTGAAATAATTAGCAAGGGTTGGGACTGCAGCCTTTACATCCAAACAGCTCCATTATCTCATGTAAAGAATCACAGTGCATCCTCCTGCAAGGCGACCTGTGCTGCACCACTCTCAGGAGCTCTGTCGTCAGTCTTTTCTGAAGTAGCTCTTTGCTCAGCTTTGAAAAACACCGGAAAGTACAAGGTCAGATACAGGTTTTGTGCTGAGAGACAGAGAAGGCAGACCTGGTAAACCTACTGAAAACAATAAGAGTCTGCTCATTTTGAAATGTTAGCCTCTTGTTACTGTCTTTGAATTTGCTCTCAACAGAGAAGATGTTTAAACGAGTGAGACATGGACTGTTATTTGTTTGTAATTAATGGCTGGATTTGAATTGTTTCAAAAACATACTTTGAAATGCTTTTTTTCTGACACTTTCAAATAGTTTGTATATCATACACGTATGTGTTAAAATAGTTAAATAGATTATCCTGATTTCCGTCAAGCTACCATGTTAGACTAAATACTAGAAGTAAACTTAAAAAAATTTAACAACTTCCACAAAGCCCATTCTGAAGTACTGAGATATTCTCCCATGGGACATATGTCTCCAGTGAAAAGGCCCTGAAACTGCAGCTTGTTTCATGCTTTTGAAAATCTCCACAGATGGAGACACTGCAGCCTCTCTGGGCAACCTGTTCTAATGCTTTAGAGACAGCTAATTTTAGCTTTGTCTAAAATTTTAGATAAAGTTTAGATAAAGCAAGTCCTGTGTGAGAGAATAAAAGCACTAACTGACCTCCAAAGGTATTTTTCAACCATATGATTTGATTCACCTAGCTAAAAAATATATTTTCCAAAGCAGATATAATAATGTACTAAAGAAACTTCAGCATTAGTTGGTTCTATATTAGAAGGCTATTAACTTTTTTTTTAATACCATATGAAATTCTTCCTGTTACTCTAGAGTGGATAATAATATTCTAGGGAAGGACTAAGTTGCATTTTAATAATGCAGCAGTTTTGCTACTATAATAGTAGAGAGATATCTTGTTTTAGGAATTCAGCATGTACTTTTATTACAAATATTTAAATATAATGAGATCATGAGTCATTAACAAAAGTGGTTATTATATTTAAAGATCTGATTAAAAGAAATATGATAAAATATATTATCATGTATTACCATATTCAAAGGCTGGAGGAAAGCAAATGTCACTACTCTCTTCAAGAAAGGCAAGAAGCAACTACAGACTGATCACCCTCACCTCGATCCCAGGGAAGGTGGTGAAGTAGCTAATCCTGGAAACCATTTCCAGGCACATAAAAGACAAGAAAATCATCAGGAGCAGTCAGCATGGCTTCACCAATGGGAAATCATGCTTGACCAACTTGATAAACTTCTGTGATGAAGTGACTGGTCCAGGAGATGAGGGGAAAGCAGTGGATATTGTCTACCTGGACTTCAGCAAGGCCTTTGACACTGTCTCTCGTAAGATCCTCATAGACAAACTGTTGATGTATGGGCTGGATGAGGAGATAGTGAGATAGGCTGAAAAGTCGCTGAATGGCTGCACCCAGAGGGTGATGATCAGTAGCACAAAATCTAGTTGGAAGCCAGTAGCTAGTAGTGTACCCCAGGGATCAATACTGGCTACAGTCCTGTTTTATGTCTTCATTAATCGTCTGGATGGTGGAACAGAGTATACCCTCAGCAAGTTTGCAAATGTTACAAAACTGGGAGAAGCGGGTGATACTCCAGAGTGATGGGGTGCCATTCAGAGGGACCTCAACAGGCTGGACAAATGGTCTGACAGGACTCTCATGCAGTTCAAAAAGGAGAAGTGCAAAGTCCTGCATCTAGGGAGGAACAACCCCATGCACCACTATATTCTGGGGACCACCCAGCCGGAAAGCAGCTTGCCAGAAAAGGACTTGGAGATCCTGGTGGACAGCAAGCTGAACATGAGCCAGCAATGTGCTCTTGTGGAAAGGAAGGTTAACGTTATCCTGCGCTGCATTAAACAATAGAATTGCCAGCAGGTGGGGGAAGGTGATCCTTCCCTTTTACCCAGCCCTGGTGAGGCCACAGCTGGAGTACTGTGTCCTGTTCTGGGCTCCCCCATACAAGAGAGAGATGGAGCTACTGGAGAGAGTCCAGTGAAGGGCCACGAAGATGATTAAGGGACTGGAGCATCTCACATAGGAGGGAAGGCTGAGAGAGCTGGAACTGTTCAGCCTGGAAAAGAGAAGGTGGGATCTTACTAATGTCTCTGAATACCTACAGGGAGGATGCAAAGAGGTTGGAAACAGGCTGTTTTCAGTGGTACCCAGTGACAGAACAAGAGGCAATGAGCACAAACTGAAACATTGGAGGTTCCATTGGAACATCAGGAAACGCTTTTCTACCTTTTCCAACTTTTCTGAGCATGGGAGCAGGT